CCCTTCATCACGTGACAGCTCCACACTGCCCCAAGCGGGTGCATGCCCTTCGTCACGTGACAGCCCCACACTGCCCACGCGGGTGCACGCCCTTCGTCACGTGACAGCCCCACACTGCCCACGCAGGTGCACGCCCTTCGTCACGTGACAGCTCCACACTGGCGCTGGCGTTCTATCGTTCCTTCTGCACCCCACACTGTGAAGTGCAGGGCCCCTGGGCATGGAGGAGGCTGGGGTGCGATCAGAGGGCCACCGCTGTGCCCAGCTGACAAAGCCCGCCCAGCCTGGCCGGAGCCGAGGAGCTGCCTACCGACCCCGCAGCCCCCACGCAGTGCCGACGGAAACGCCAGAGCAAACTCAGGCTCTGAACCTCACCTCAGCTCTAGGACCACTTGGCTTCTACTCTGCTCATAAGTTAACATCCATTTTATGCTTACTCGATCTTCCAACAGTTGGCACGGTGAGGGCACAGGTCCTCATTCTACAGACAAAAGCCTAAGCAGCGGCAGGCATCTGCTCTGGGCTCTGCCTTCCTGTGCCAGCTACCGTTTCTCAGCCAGCCTTTCTTTCCACTGTCCACACAGCCCACTGGCTTGCTGGGGCGACAGAGAACAGGCTCCCCGGTGGCAGGTGGCAGGGTCACAGGGTCACCCAGCCTGCTATCCCCAACAAGCTGGGTTGCTGGGGGTCCAAGTGTCCTCCCCCTATGGGCTTGTTCAAAGAGGAGAGCACCCCTTCTTGGGAGGGGATGTCCCAAACTTTCTGCTCACCTTGAAAAGTGTGAAAACCGCTCAGAAATGGAAGAAAAATTCAGTTCAAATCCCCTTCTCAAAATGCTGCTGCAATGTTTTACTTACTTGCAAGCAGTTTATGGAAGCGCAAGGTGTTAGTTTAAAATGTTTGTGTGCCCATTTCAAATGCCCCAGCAGTGCCCCCTCCTTGCACAGAAACATGGCCAGCAGGCACACAGCCCAGGGGCCCCATCAATGACAGCCACACTCAGATGGCCACAGCACAGCAGGACACAGGGCAGGACGAGGGAGGTGGCAGGATTCCAGCCCGAAGAGCAGAGCCACCAGGGCAACAATAGCTTCCTCCCGCCCGGCCCGCCCTGTCCCCATCCTCACTGCATCTGCCAACACCGCCCTCCCAAACTAGAACCCAGAGCGCCGGCCTGCGCCCACAGGACTTCCAGCCTCAGAGACGCCGAGCTGGGGCCTCAGGCGTTTCCGACTCTCCAGGGACTCTGAGCTCCCCGACGTACAGCCAGTCTCAGTCTCTACCTCCATCTGGCCAAAAGGGAACTCATGGGAACTGAAGCTGTCACCTCCCGGGTGTGCGCGTGTGCGAGCCATGGCTGGGCAGTGTCGTCGGCATTTACAAACATAGTTGGCCTCTATAGCCACAATTCCGTATCTGTGGATTCAACCAACCACAGACTGAAAACAGTCAAGAAAAATCATGACTGTACTGAACATGTACAGGTTTTTTCCTTCCCTAAACAGTGTAACAACTGCGCACAGCGCATTTACACTGTTATTTTAACAGTATTCTGTATCAGCGCAGTATAATCTAGAGAGAAGTTAAGAGCACAGAAGAATGTACAGGTTATATACTAATGCCACACAATTTTATGAGGGACTCAAGCATCTGTGGACTTTGCAGCCTGTGAAAACTTCTGAACCTGAGCCTGTGGGAGGCTGAGGGACCACCGCATACCTCTGAAATGCAAAATTCAAGCAAGTACGCCTGTTTTGAAATGTGGCCCTTCAAATGCTGTTGGGGGTCTTTAATGAATTTGATCAAAGGTTTACCGTGCTGCGCTTCCCAGTTTAATTAAGCCGGCACTGGTCTTTTTAGAACACTGAAAGAAAAACGAGGATGCTTCTTACTGACTTTGTACGGCTTCCCCCTCCTCCCGACAATGCCGGCTCACACCGGCCGCGAAGCCTTCGGGAGGAGGTGATGAAGAGCTGTGCGGCCGCCCGCTCCTTACCACGACAGATGCACTACGTCCTGGCCACCCTGATGGGGCCTGGCCACCGAGTCCTCTCATTAAACACCGAGGAGCAGCGTACGGGCCCAGTCGGCCACTTGCACGAGGGGCCTCTGGAAGGCACAGTAGCCTACTCCCACAGGGCGGGGCGCACACTCAGCAGTCGGAGGAAAAAGATCTTGTACACAGGACTGCAAGCAACTCTGTCTCTATCATTACTGGGTTAAACAACTCCGCTCCGCCGGGGACTGGGGTCACCCTCCAGCTGCTGAGACAGCCCGGTGTCTGGTGCTCACAGCACGGACATCCTGCGCGAAGGAAGCGTGCCTGGCCTGCTGCAAACTGGAAATGCCCTAGGCAGCGCTGGTGAACCTACCGCCCTCGGCCTCTGAAGACTGCGCACCAGGAGTCCTTTGCCTGGATGCTTGGCTGGGAGGTGGGGGTCCTTCCCTGGCCATGGCTCACGGCTCTTCAGTGCTGAGGCCTCGGGCAGCACAGCTGGAGAAGGTCTTAGCCTGCGTCTCTGCTCGGGAGAGCCTGGCTCCGGGAACCCTGGGGACTGGCTGTGCCTCCCCTCCACGTGGCTTGAGACACCCACCTCCAGATCCCTACCAGCAGCAATACCGACACTCAGGGGGTTCCCCCAGAACACCACTGGTGATAAAACAAGTGGATTTCCGTGCCACCCAATTTTGTATGCTGTTACCTTAGAAACCCCCCTCAATTTAATTTATTTCAGCCTGCCTTCCACAGGGCACAGTTACCTTGGGGTTGGTTCGCTGCTGCAGCCTCCTTTCCTCCCGCTCTCTCTGCAGCCGCTCGAACTCTTCCCTGATCTCAGCCGGAGTTCGCCTCCTCTCCACAACCTATGGGGGAACCAGAGCCAGATGAGGACCGCGGCACCAAGGAAAACACCTCCCCCAGACCTGGAGGGAGGAGGGGAGCACGGCTCTCCAGCAGCCTCCGCCCGCCCGCCCGCCCGCCCGTGCGTCCCTGGCTCCTGTAACCCTCCACGTCTTTCTTCATTCTAGAGCCTTCCCTCTGAGGCTGCAGGACTCTTACAGCGAGAAGCCCACAGCTTCCATTTCCCAGCGAGTCCCAGGTCCCAGCCAGACACCGTGAGCAGAGGCACCGCTGAACACCTGGGTGGGCTTCCTGGACCACTGATCTCCAGCACCAGTGGTGTCCTAGCACCGCAGGACCCTTCTCGTGCACTGTGCCAGGACCCTCGGCACAGCCATGCAGTGACACTTTTGTCTCAGTCCAATGACATCGAGGGACCGAACGGTAGACTATGTACAACTCCGGGGTGTGCAAGGGTGTCACGACACCTGTCTCAGCTCACAAGAAGAAAACCCAGCTAGGCTGCCAGGAGCTGGGGGTGGGGTGGGAAGACGGGAGAAGGGCAGGGGCCCCACCTGAGACAGGACAGGGGGCAGAAAGGCGGAAAGTGGTGACGCCTCCTCTACCACGAGCAGGCAAGAGGTGGCCAAGGACAGGCCCCGAAATATGTTCCTCTGTGGGAACAACACAGGAAGTGTGAGACGCTGCTGGGAGCATTTCTAACATGACGGACGATGAGGGAAAGCTACCGGGAAATTCCAAAACAATACAGGCACAAACCCCAGACAAAACAAAACGAGTCGCAAAAACCGAACACCAACAAAACCAGGACCGAAAGATTCCCACTTTACCCGCATTCCCTCTTCTCACAGGCTTGGATTTTTGGTCTCTTCCTAAAACCCTTCTTTGCATGTATGTTTGCATGTTCGTGGGTACCTAAATACCTTGACCATGTGCTCATAATTACATTTTTTTACAACCTGATTTTAATTTTATTTATTTATTTATTGGTACCAGGAATTGAACCCACGACTGCACGCTTGCCAGGCAGGCGCTGTGCCACTGAGCTATATCCCTGGCTCTTGATTTTAGTTTTAACAACAGAAAAATAGTTACCTATCCAAGTAGAAAAAAATAAAGAGAACAGTGTTTTCTCCTCAGATAAAACAATATAAATCAATAATTACTGAAAAGGAACTGATTCTTTTTAAGGTATCTTTACAATGACAAAGCTCGTTAAAATCACCCATGAGAAATGGAAAGGCCTAGAGAAGGCGTGAGAGTGACCGCCCTCCTGGACTCACAAGAAACCCCAGGCACACCTCCCCGGCGGCAAGCTCCTGCCCCAGCTCACGGGCACTGAGGGCACCGAGCCTGTTTGGGGTGCATTTGCTGCCTCCAGGCAGAAGCCAGGTATGGCTTTCAGGGTTCCCAACACCTTCTCAGCCTCCTGTCAGCCTCTCCTTCACCCAAAGAAAAGAAAAACAGGAGCTTGAGGGAGTCGGCGGGGTCCGCCGGGTGGTGAGGAGGCCTGGCTGGGTGGGCACCGCGGCCACAGACCTCTGCGCCTAGTTGGTGGGGCACACATGCTCTGGACCGGGCCGGAACCAAGGCACCTGGGAGCCACCGCTCCTGAGCTCAGCAGCTCTCACAGAAAGCAATCAGGCATACAGCACCCTGTAAGCACCAGACAGGGTCCCTGCCTCTTGCGAGCAGCGTGTCCTGCAGCAGAGAATCTGCACCCATGCTGCGCACCCGACCACCACCTTGAGGCCCATCCCGGTGTGGCCAGGAAGAGCAGCTTTATGGATGGGGGTCAGGACACTGGCAGAGGCAGGTGGCAAACTGAGAGTCAGAAGCCTACGCTCTCTCTCTGATGTGGCGTTACTGCTGGGTGACTTCCGGGAAGTCACCTCTAAGCTGTGTGCTGTGAAAAGAGGACAAACCACACAATTCTGAAGGGGTCACCTGGACTGAAAATTCTACGATTCCACTCAGTCAACTTTTAATTTCAGAACAACTTCATATAAATATTTAAAACTTCAGAAAGCAGGGAAAGTTCTAGTATACCAGCCACCCAGGTTTCCTTGAATGTTAACGTTTACATAACCAGCGAATGCCAATCAGATCTAAGAGGTCAACATCAGTATTTTTCAGATTTTTTTTTTTTTTTGTCTTTTTGGACAGGGTCTCACTATGCAGTTCAGGTTGGCCTTGAGCTCACTTTGTAGCGCAGGCTGGTCTCGAACTTGCAAAGATCAATCCTCCTGCCTCAGCCTCCCGAGTGCTGGGATTACAGGCACGTGCCCTCACACCCTGCTCAGACTTTTCAGATTCTACTTGATTTTTCCTCCTAACATCTTTTCTCGGTGTCAGGATCCAATCTGAGATATCCCTCACATTCCCTTCCTTTCATCTGCAGTGTGGCTTCTGTCTTTCCTTACTTCTCACGGTCTCGACTGTATCAGAGCCCTGAATGTAGAGGGGGGTTTCTTAGGCACTGCAAGACTGATGTCAAAGACAGGGAAAAGTGGAATAAGGACAATGCACATCTGACAGAGCTGATTATGTGGTTTCTGCTCCCCTTGCCAGCCTGCAGCAGAGTCAACACCATCAAGAGTATTCACAGTTCAGATGGATTTTTGTCATTCTGAAGAAAACACGAATTTCCCTTTCAACATTCACACAAACATTAACTTAACTCCAAGAGCTTAACGCGGCTGATTTTAGAAGCTGGGAATGGTTACATCTCATTCCTTTGGAATTCTGCCAGTTAATGAGAGTCTCTTGAAGGTTTTTTTAAAAAAAGTGAAAACTTAAACTAATGAGCAAAAACAGGGCCAGTATTTTATACAAACTAAAGCAGCACCAGCATTACCTCCAGTGTCCACCATCACACAGCGGAGATATGACGAGTGCTTTGAGGCCTCTGGCGTGAAGGCCTTTCAGACATGTGGCATGCCCACAATGCCCTTCAGCCTTCGCTAACTACCCATACGTTTAGTGTAACAAATAGGTGGCAAAGTCTAGCAGCCCAACCATACCAGCAACAGGATGAAAGGAACAGCGCGTCCCGTCTGGGGGGAAGCTACCGCTGTGCGTCATAAACAGTCCACCGAGTGGAGGGGTCTGTGGCAAGGTGCTGGGGCGTGGGGAGCTTTCGCCTTTAAGTACAGACATCAGGCCGCCCTCCTGCCGCACGTTAAGCACTGCCAGCGTGTGGGGTCTGTCTTCACATCCTCCTCCTCGGAGGCATTTTTATCTGGCAGTGACGGTTTCATATCAGTATGAAAAAGGCCAATTCTGACCCACCACAACCTTATTTCCTGAAAGTAATCTACTAAAAGATAGGAATGTAAAGTCTATCCCATTCACCACCTGGGAATACCTACACATTTCTTTTCTTCTGTGTCTTCTGTTAACAGCGTGTACTGGTGTACAGATGACTGGTTTCATGACATTACAGTCATTTGTACACGCACAAAACATGTTTTGATTGTTTTCCTCTCTCCCAGTACCCCCATGCTAGGTATTCCCAGTCACTGCTGTCTGGGTAGCTTTGCTTCACTTCTAGAGGGAGCTAATCTGGGCTGTGAGCGGAAATCAGGCAGTATCTCACTGGAAGACCCCGCGCTCCCAGAGAGCGGGACAGTGCTGCCAGGCACTAACCCTGAGGCTGCTTGGTAGGAACATGGACCACGCCGACAGTTCTGGGCGATTCCAAGTGCCGCACTGAAAACATGTCACCAAGCCATGTCTTCAACCAGGGGACTTTAAAGTGGTATGTGAAGTGTGAGGAAAAATTTGTAAAGAAAACAGTATCCATTTTCCTTTTTGGATAAAAACAAAGACCAAACTGCTAGACTTAACACTGAGCTATAATGAACTAAGGCAACCCAAAGCACTGCTATTTCCATCAAGTCAGAGGCCGCAAACCAACTGCCCAGGGAGCCAGGCGGGGCAGGTGCAGTGACAGTGTGGGGAAAGGGGCCAGGCGCGGAGCCCAGTGTGAAGGACTGCGTGCGGGGCCTAGGTCAGTCACACACAACTGGGGCTTCACGGCGAGAAGCGTGGGTCCTCACAGTCTCCCCAGTGCGCAGCAATCCACACATGGCTCCAGGTAGGACGTGGCCACAGCCAGCAGCGCACCTCAGGAGGGCAAGGGCCACAGCCCGCTCCGCTTCCCTCCACCGTGCCCCGCAGGCCGTTAGCAGGCGCTCAGGCTAGAATCACGAGCGACACGCACACGCACACACAGGACTACACAGCCACAGAATTTCGAGGGAAATCAATGATCAAAGGGAAAAAACCCAAGAGGCAATTTAGTGTTATTAACTAATACCCTGCCAAGATGTCTTGGGGATCAAAATGAAGTCGCTTTCATGACATTATGTATAAAAGCACCTATATCCCTGCAGTACTTTAAAGTTCTACGTAATTCTTATGTTCGTCTATTCCATCCTTACATCTTCGCCTCTCAGCACAAAGCAGCCACGACTCACCCAGGGCTCTAGACGCTGTCAGCGGCAGAGAAAGGAAACTGCATAGAGGCCCCTGGGTTTCTGTAGCGCGTTCCCACAGCACGGGCCGCCCAGGGCCACCTACTCCACAGACATGCTCGCCTGCTTTGTCTCGCTCCTTACATTAGCAGTGTTCTGGTATACAGTACCAACCAGAGGCACTGCGCGATTCTCAACTGTGCTCTGCAACATTCCCAAGAGGAGCACTCCCTAAACAGCCTTCACAAGGAAGGAGGAGGGGGCACGGGCGGCAGAGAGCAGAAGCCAGCAAGCGTGGACAGTCGCAGCCTGGGAGCAGTCATCTCGCCTCAGTTCCCCGACCCACCGCTCCCACGCAGGGCCCAGGGTTCAGCCTCCCAGGCAAAGCCCGTTCTAGAATTCAACCTTGCACACACAAACACAAGGCGAGGCAAGGAAAGCCAGTGTCTCAAATATTCCCAAGAACAGGCTGCAGGGCCGCAGGTTACGTAGCTGTTTAGCAACTTCTCTGGGGCACCAGGCGACACCTGGAACAGGTTCTCTTACCTCCCATCCTTCCATTTCCAGTCCTCGCTTCCCATATATATCATAGATGGCCCTGGTTTGGGGGTCACTAAGCACTGCAATTAAAAAAAATCAAACATGTCACAAAGTTCAAAATGCACCTTTCAGTCCCCCCTGAGAACACCGGCTACGATGTCACTGGGTAAATTCGTCTTTCTCTTCCTGCACCATCGCAGCCTCTGGGAGGCGCTCTTCCTTTCCTAGGTGTCTGTCCTCCCGCCTGCTGTGGGCTCCAACCCAGGAGGTGGCTGCAAATTTGCAGGTGCTGCCAATGAGCAAAGTCAGCCTCCCAGGGCCCACGCTCCTCCTAGGACTGCTTGGAATCTGCACCGCCTCTCGCGCCACTGAAGGACCCTGCGCTTCAAAATGCACAGCACAGGACGCACACTGACTTGGCAGTCCATTCCAGTTTTCAGCAAAAAATCTGACTGATTAGTGTTACTAACTCCTAAGGCAGTGTACATCCTGTGTGTGTGTGTGTGCGAGCGCGCGCGCGCATGTGTGTATACACACCCTCTTTATCTGCAAATCATTTAAAAATACAAGGTTGTTGGCCACATCATCTAAAATACGTAACAAAAGGGCTTCTGGTAAGGGCAGGAGTTATTCAAAGGCTATGCAAACTGAGTGGGAAAGCCAGCAGCAGTCACTCTCTCTCTCCCCTACTCCTTTCTATTCAGGACCTCTGCATCTTCCCCTGAGAGCTCCCATATATTTTTAGGCCTAATTAAAAAAAGACACAAATGAGTCTATCCATATTCAAATCCAGTGGGGAAAAGGAAATGCTGACCACTGGAAAATGTGAGGGCCAAACTTCTTGAGTTCATCCCCAGGATTTAATAAGGAAGTATCTGGTCACGGGTTTACTTCTCTCTCTGTTTCGGTGAAACGCTGGGGCCAGGGCCGCCGCCGCAGCATCCTCACAACCACTGGTAGGTTTCCCCGTTAGCTGTCCCCATCGCCAAGTCCACAGGCAAGCTATGCGGGTCCTTTAGACAGCAGCAAACTAATGCGGCCTTGTAGACCACGGAATACAATAACAGGATGCCTTTTGACCGCAGCCACGTAAGTGGTGTGAACAGTTAAATTTGGTGACGAGACCACACTGGCGGCTTCTTGCCCGACTCTCACTGTAATTAACATTCAAGTTCTTGGTAGAACTGTAATGTGAACAACAGCATTCCTTACTGCGTCTACAGGGGGAAGTCACAGTAGTTATGTAACGAAATGCATTATTATGTCGTTTTGGTCTCAGGGAGCGAATCACCAGATGGTTTTACAATGAACCACTTCTCTTACTTGATATGTACCCTAAGAGTGAGTTAATGTATTTGTTGTTTTCTAATTTTTAAATTATGGTGAAATAGATACAACTTTCCTTTTTTCTCGTGGGTATCAGGAATGGAACTCAGTACCTCATGCCTGCCAGGCAGGTGCTGCGCCACTGAGCTATACGCCTGGCCCACAACTTTCCATTTTACAATGTACAATTCATTTGGGCATGGCAGCACGGGCCTGCAAGCCCACCGCTCAGGGGGCTGGGGCAGGAGGATCACTGTGAGTTCGAGGCCAGCCTGGCCTACACAGTGAGGCCTTGTCTCAAAAAGAAAAAAAAAGGGTACAATTCAGCAGCACGAAGCATTTACAGTGCTGTGTAATCATCATCACTATCTATTCTGAGTACTTTTCATCATCTTCAAAAGATGAACTGTATCTATTAGTGACTTTATAAGCAAATATATATATACAAACATATAAACAAGTACATATTTTATAAACAAATATATCACAATTTTTCTTTGTGATATATGTAAGATGTGAGTCTAAAAATCTTAATTACTTGGTTCTATTTCCTATTAGCGGTCTTCTGAACATTACTTTCTTTTGTAAGAATCTTCACTGAATGCTACAGAAACAATAAAATTGTCATCAGATAAAAAAACGTCCTTGTAGCTTCTCACAAAGGAGAGAACAAAGACAGCTTCTCTGTACCGATCCGTTTTTCCCTCTCCGAGTTCCCTTCAGAAGAAAGCGCAGACGATTTAAACTGGAGTATTCCCCTACAGTCCAGACCCCAGCCCATTACTTCAGCCGGACTCTCATTTTCTACTTACTGGACACATATTGATTTCCAAAGCAAAATACTACTCTTTCAAAGGACCCTGTCAGTAAGAACTACTCAACTAGCCACTTCTTTTATACACCTCTAAGGACTCTCTTTTTCTGCTCTCTACAAATCAAGTCTCTTAAAAATCGAGTATCTGCTACCCCGTGCTTCTGTGAGGCCGAGCCCTCCGCTGACCTTCATAAGCCTGGTGAACGAGGTTAAACAGCCGTTCTGCTTGTGATTTGAGCTCCGGGTCTCTGTGCTTGTCTGGATGGTAAAGCATACACAGCCTGCGGTAGGCAGCTTTTAGCTCTTCAGAAGAGGCCTAAAGAAAGAAAAATTCAATTAGAGAGCAATCAATGGTACTTACACATTATCATCATCAGAATCAGCCTTGAAATGGGAACCCGTCAGCCATATTCCAACATGTTTGTTCTCTCCATCCAGGATATAATGAAGTTATGCTTTATTACCTCAATAAGGCTTCTTTTCTCCACAATTAATAAAGTGATCAATTATGTACATCAATAGCGACTGTGTTTTGCTAGGGCACACTGCTGTCAGATGGAACGAAAGCCTCCGTGTCTGCATGGGCCCACTGCGCTCTGAGCTGGAGCTAAAATGCCACAGGGACCTGCTTCCCCTTAACCCAAGTTATCGGACGGAAATCACGTCTGGGAATATGTTCAAAAGGAAGAATCTGGGGCCATCAGACAGCAATGACAGCTGCTGCGGTGGTTTTGACAAAGAACACTGAAAGCGTATTAATGCTAGAACACCAGAGGCTGCACCATAAAAGCACACACACCTGGCTTTCCAGCTGATTCCAAAAGTGGCAAACACGCCTTCCTACCCCCACTAAGGCTCCTTCCCAACACGTAACCCTCCCTTCCGGTGGCCAACCAGAGGGGGTACGCAGCAAGGGCCACAAGAACTGTCCTCTCCTTGGCCTCCTCGCCCGCCATCACTGAGGTCACAGCCACAGCCTCGAGGCGCCAGTGCAGCCCACTCAGACGTGAGGTCCACGTGGGAGCCCCGTGCCGGCCGCGCTGGCCTCAAGGACCCCTTCCGGCCGTCGGAAGCGATGCTGCCACTGCAAGCACAGAGGAGAGGACGACCCATGGAGTGAACAGCAGCTCACTCTGGGCGCAGCCCCAGCATCTCGACAAGTGCAGCACGTATGTGGGTCACTGAGCGATCAGCCATCTGGGTGGAAGGGAGAATGGGCCCGGTCCCCAGGGAGGCCACCCGGGGGGACCAGGCAGTGCTCTAGGATCACGTCCTGGTACGTGGATCCACAGGGACAGAACGAACCCAGGCACCAAAGTTACCAAGGAAAATACTACACTATTTCTCTAAAATTTCCACAATTTTCAGTATCTTCCCATTCCAGGACTAATGAATCTTTTTCTACCCCACAACCCCCTGTGCCTTAGTTCTATTCTTTTGACATGAAACTGACCTATTTCCTACAGCACCATGTCACTCAGAATCTAGAGGGCCAGGAGATGTGTGTGAGTTTAGCAGAGGTTCTCAGGTCAAATTCTGAAGACTGCAAAGAGGGAGATCATAAAGGGGATTCCAAGGACACAGAGAGGACAAGTGGCCTGCCAGACCCGTGTGCCCAAAAGGCTGCGGTGGGGTCCGCTCCGCGCCCTTGGCACCTCCTCCCCTCTGTCTGAGCCCCAGCCTGCTGGGCTTGCTACTCAGCAAAGCTGCGGGAGACCAAGCCAGGCACCTGGCCCTCGGGCCCGGCCAGAAAGCTTCGCTGCTTTCCATCAGGAGCTCCTCGAAGGATCCCATCAGCTGCCCATTGGGAAGGGTCCAGGATCCTGGGAGGGAGTGGACTCCTGCCCCTCCCACCTGATCGCCCCCTCCGTCTTCTCCTTGGGTGGCCTCTGGGAACGATGCTACTGAACACTTTGTAGTTACGCCTCTCCCTCCCTGCCCACCGGGTTAGCCGTGTGATTTACTCTGTGGCTACACACTGACCTTCCATTTCAGTGGCTGAGAACGAGGGCTCTCGAGTCAAAGGGCCCGTGTTTGGGTATCAGATCTGTCACTTCTGAGCTTTTTGACTCTGGGCAGGTGACCTTCTGATCTTTAGCTTTCTCCTCTGAAAAGGGACAACACACCTCCCAGGGACAATGTGGGAATGAAGCCACCAGTGACTTTAAAGTACTTCACATGTAGCAAAAGCTTACAAATTGCAGCCTTTTCCTGTTTTTTTTTTGAGACAGGGCCTTGCTGTGTGGTCCAGACTGGCCTTGAGCTCTGTGTAACCTACACTGCCCCGGACCTTGTGGCGGGTGATCCTCCTGCCTCAGCCTCTAGAGGAGAGTACTGGAATTACAGGTGTGCGCCACCACATCCGGCTACAGCTCTTTCCAATCCTTCTGTCTCATCTGAAGACTGGCAGACAGTGCTCTCTCTCCCTGTTGCAAGGTGGAAGGCAGTGACTGCACGTGCAAGAGCTCAGCCACACCTGACACACAGCAGGGAAGAGCCACCCCTGGGACCATCGCTGTCACAACTGAGCTCCACCTTTCTGGCTGCACTGGGACACTTGAGCGCCCCGCAGCTCGGCAGCAGCCTTCACGTGAGGCCGTCCGTCCTGTGTCCTGTGTGTGTAGGACACCGGCGCTTTTCCGCCCTCATTCTGCATCACAAGAGCACAAGGCTCCCTGGGAGAGACGGAGCTGCGGCTGGGCGCTCTCTCCTCCTTCGGTCACAGGCGCCTCCGGGACGGGACGGTGCTCACCGTGCAGTGCCCTTCCCGCCACGCCTCCAACACCTATGAGCGAGCGCCAAGCCCGGGCGCCTGAGGCGTAAATAACACCGAGTAATGGGAAAATAAAGTACATTTTCTCCTAGTCAGTTTGGGCATGTGAGGGTGTAAACGGAGCCTGCTTGCTCCTACACAGCACTTACAAGTTATTTTCTTCCTGCAGATTTCAATTGTTTTTCTCCTGTAGCTTATAAAAGTTAGAAGCATAAAATTAGATGGATTTGAGTGACTCCAGGTTAAGGTGCTATTTCCTGGGTATTAGAATGAACGCAGACGACAAGGAAGCAGAATATCTAGCCTGCAAGACCTTTAGTCATATTAATAAATGGCTTAATGTGCTATTGATTAAGTAATGGAAATGAGAAGTTTCATTTTTAATAAATATCACATTCAATAAAAGGTTAGATGAGGCCTTTCATCACGAGTGAATAGCTAAGGTCACTGGTTCGATATTTCATAAATGATAACCTTTCCACTATCATAAAAATATCGGTATCATTTCAAAGTGTAATGAGATATCATTAAAAATGATACCTAAAGTTACATACTTACTTCTACATTTCTGTAATAAAATTAAGAGAGGTATCAAGGTGTAAGTCTGAAAAGTTCTATCGTCTTAATCATCTGGTTTTATACTCCCTGGACAGACAGACCTTGTGTGAGGTCCCAAATGAGGTCTCTACAGATTTTGAAAGACTGACACCACACAAAGTACCAGCCCTGCCACACAGCATGAAGTTAGATATCAATTACAAAAAACTAGGAAATATATAAATTTGTGGAAATTAAACCATACACTCTTAACCAGTCGATTCAAGAAGAAATCACAAAGGAAATTAAAAAATACTTGGAGACAAATGGAAACAAGAAGGCAAAATGCCAAAAGGAGAGGAAACCAAAGCCACCCCACCAGCCTGGGCCAGCCGCGGAGGCACCTCAGCGGCAGGACGCACGCTCGCCCGCGCGAGGCCTGGGTCTGACCCCAGCGCCACAGAACAGCAGCACTGCGGGAAAGCGGTCAGACCCTAACCGTTCACCTACGGAGAGCAATGGCCTGCGCTCGCTCCTCGTCTCCTTGTGAAGGCTGGCCTAAGTGCTCCTTCCCACGTACTGCAAGGTGGAAGGCAGTGGATGCACGTGCAAGAGCTCAGCCACACCTGACACACAGCAGGGACGTAGCCTGGACCCCAGCGTGGAGATGTGATGGGGTGGGGGGTTGGGGGCTTCAGGGCGGGGGAGTGTCCTTGTGAAGGAGCTCCTGAGGGGCCTGGCTGTGCTCCAGCTTCCTGTGACCTTGCCCTCTGCACAGGCTTCCACTGTTGCCCGGCTGCAAGGCCTCCACCAGAGCGAGCGGGAGCCAGCACCAGGCCTGGAGCCCCCAAGCTGGAGTGAATAAGCCTCTTTAGAGAGCATCTTGCTCTGAGTACTCTGCTACAGTAATGGAAAACGACTAGTATCAGGAACTAGAAAAAGAACAACAGGGTACTTCCCAGGAAGTCACCCCTAGGAAACGGGAAGTCCAGATGGGTCTATGACTGGCATGGAGACCGAATTGGCAATCAAGACCTCTGCAGAGGAAACCTTACTAGGGACTCTTAAACACTTAAAAAAAGGAACTTGCAACAATTCTCAAACTTTTCCAAAACATTAAAGATGAGAGAATGCTTCCAAATTCACTCTGAGAGGTCAGTATTACCTGATACCAAAGCCCAAAGATTCCACAAAAAGAACCACAGACTAGTAGATGCAAAAATCCTGAAGAAAATACTAACAAAGTTCAGTAGCATGATAAAAAATTGTACCAAGGGATGAGCTGTGCGTAGTGGCATAGGCCTACAATCTCAGCACCTGGGAGGCTGAGGCAGGAGGACTGCTGCGAGTTTAAGGCCAGCCTGGGCTACAGAGTGAGTTCAAGGCCAGCCTGAACTACAAAGTGAGACTCTATCTCAAAAAAATCAAACCAAAACAAACAAAACTATACCCAAGTAAAAGTGAAATTATTCTTGGAATGCAAGGATAGCTCAACATATGAAAATAAATCAACATAATACATCATAGTAACAGAAAGAAATATTTAAAAACCCTGCATCATTTCAACTGGTGTGGAAAAAGCAATGGGCAAAATTTAAGACCCATTTGTGGTAAAAGTAGGAATTGAAGGAACTACTCTGACGTAACGAAAGTCATACATGAAAATCCCCAGTGAGTGCTAAAAGACTGAAAGCTTTTTTCTAAAATTGGGAACAACGCACAGATGTCTGTTTTTCAAACTTCAATTAAACAAAGTACTGCAAGTTCCAGCTAGAGCAATTAGGCAAGAAAAAGAAATAAAGGCCTCCAAGTTGTAAAGGAAGCAAAGTTACCTCTGTTCTCACAAAATTACCCCCTGTACACGGAGTCCTCTAACGATCTCTGTCTTTCTCTGTTTCTCTCTCATATAATGTTAGAACTTAAAAATGAATTTAGCATGGCAGGATACAAAGTCAACTCATGGAAACCACTGTTTTGTTCTGCTGGCACTGGAAATCGAACCGCTT